ACTATGTTTTTCGCATATGCATCAAGATCCACGCCGGTTGATTGTTTGGTGTGCCAGGATAATTGGGCAAAGTGCGATGACTCAATTCGTATGAGAGAGAGAGAGAGAGAGAGAGAGAGAGAGAGAGAGAGAGAGAGGGAGGGAGGGAGTGAACAAGGAACCCAAGAATAAATCGCAGTGGTTGTTAACCCCGTGTGACCTCAGCACATAGCCAGAGCACAAACATTGTGTGTAAAATTATATTTGGTGTGTGTGTTGTTAAGCGTGCGTTCAATTATGTCAATAGCATCGACATGATGTTGTAATTACCCTTGGTTATGCGCGAACAAAATGGTTTGTCCTGGTTCTGGCTTTGGCTGTGAAAATTGGCACACACAACACACACACACAGAAAGTGCCGATAGTAAATGGTTTGGCAAAAATCACCATCCAACATATATGTCGAAAATTCATCGACTGAGCGAAGTGCTGTCGTCCATATTTAATACTTCGACGAATAGACGAAAATATCAAACTAAAAACTAAAAAATCTAAAGCGTTCACCAACAGAAATTATTATTATTATTCAAATTTAATTGTTCACCAAGTGTGAAATTTAATGCGAGAATGGTTTTTTCTCGTCCAGCGCACTTACAAAACGGTTCTATTATTTCAGTTTTTATGGGAATTGATGTGTCTCATACGATGTGTCATAGTTGCTAGTTCACATACAATGGCCTTTTCCATTCAGTTTGTGTGTTTTTCTCTATTTTCTCTCCACTGCATCTCACACACTCTCAGAAAGAGTAACCTGTAAGTGCTAATGCCCAGTTTGTAATGCATGAATTCATGTGTACGAAATTTCGTTTTTTCGGAATATGAGCGTGCGATAAAAACAAAAGGAACGCATTACGCCAAATATCGGAGCGTTGAACTTGACAAACAAAACGAGAGATCCACAACAAAAGGAAAGAAAGCAGCAACAACAATCATTGTAAACGAATGTAAGGGAGCGCGAGCGTGCGGGCGCGTTGCGAACAGGCACTGGGAAACACTTCTCATTTCAAACCGAAAAAGAAGAAGGAGGAGGAAAAAAATGTTCTTATCAGAACTCAGAGCGATTATGACGTTATCGGTAGTGTAATGTTAATGTGAGAGCACACACGAAACGACACACGAAAATGAAAGAATAAATATATATAGCGTCATTTGTCGTTACTTTCACTATTCCACCGCAGCCGGTCGGTCTTTTGGTGGATGTGTTGGTGCGCGCGCGCGGCACTGATGTACGAGTCTGTGACATACAGAAAACGCACAAGCACACAATATTTTTCGGTGTTGTTCTCACAAATGGAGGAGCCGCTCGCATTGTAAAGCTCTCTCGCACACTTAGCTCAGTATAATAAAATACTATTATTCTGTCAGTCGCGCTCTCTCTCTCTCACTCTCTGCTTTCATTTAAAAAAATATTTTTCACTCACTGGCACACCAGGCCAATGACCGTTTGTACGAAATACCGAAACAATTTGTCCGATAATTCGTTTCTTTTTTTTCGTGCTTGTCGTGTGCGTGGTGCGTAAACGGTACGCAATATAAGTATATAGTGCGAAGTGTGTGATCCTTTTGTCAGCCCAACACTTATATTTATTGATCTCATCCAAAAAGTAAAAGCGCTTATCATGTGTACGTACGTGCATGCGTGCGCGCAAACACCGCACGCACATTGCCCAAAAATTAACGGAAATTTCATCAGTGTGCAAACAAACATTAAACGCACAATGACTCGGTCTCTCCCTCTCGATCTCTGCCGCGTTTTGCATACATGAGCTCTCAAATGGAGTTGAATTGCATTCACCTTTTATCTCTTTGTATTTCCGTGTTACATTAATATTGGCGTATCCGAGTCAATTTCACCATTAAGTGTAATTCACAAGCAAGCAGTGCCTTAGAATGATAAGGATCGTGAAGACAAAGCAGACCTCAATCTCCATCATTTTATCGGTCATTCCCATCTAATTCATATATTGGGCAATACCGAAAAATTGATATCGCCAAAGAACCGTTACAAAACACATCTTATGGCATATCGATTACGGCTTTTTCCACATTGCGGTGGTTTGTTCGGTTATTGCGTGTAAGTTTATTTTCAACCCATAAACCACACAACCGAAAAAGCGTTCAAAGCAAAAGCTAAGCACCTCAATATTACGATGCGGCCTAACCGATTGCTGTGAACGCGTTTGTCTCTTCCTCTCTCGCTCATCGAAGCTTCAATATAGACCAAAATTGCGCTCTCTCTCTCTCTCCGTGAGTGTGCGTGTAGAATAGAAGTAAAACTGGCAAACGACTCTCTGACAACAAAGGTCAATAAACGTTGACTTGACCGATAATTTGATGCGAGCTTGTGTGTGTGTGTGTGTGTGTGACTAAGGAGAGCGTGCATTTGAATGCGCAAACATTTGTTCATTTACACCGCAAAGTGTCAATAGATAAAAACTAAATAGATTTTAAAAATAGCCAACGACAACGAGAAGAAGAAAAAAAACGCACGCGCTCGATTTGCTAAAGTCTTTTGTCTTTGGTTCTATTGTTCTACGTTTTGCTCTCCATTTTTTTGTTTCTCTATTGGCCGCGTGCGCGTTTGCGTGTGTGTCTTTTCAATTAGATGCGCATCTTGAAAATTTCATTTGACCTGGAATAATACAATCATTTTGATTGTCACCGGCATTTGTATGCAATAGATCTCAGATGGACGCCATTTTTTCAACTCGTTCCGCTTTTGATGTTCGAAAAGACGGCAGTAGACATAAATCTCGACGATAAATTCGAAGCGAGGAAGTTTAAGCATAATCCCACGGCCCAATGTAAATTGTAATAGAATAATTACTTGGCGCCAATTTATCCCTCTACACTTTGCTCGCCGTATCATATGGCAACAGTAACAGACGTGCCGCTGTTGTTGGACGATGTTTCGTCTTCGATTTCGACTTATTCGCCGATAATTCTCGACCGTTTTATTTATATTTCTGCCTCGGTAATTGGGTATTCGGCCGAAGAAAAAAAAAATTGGAGAAAAAGCAAGCAATTAGCAAATTGATGATCGAATCACGTATCCAATATTTCACTGCAATAACTTAATCGTTTGCGTTCATTATATAGTCATTTGTTTGTGGTTTCATTCGTTCGAGTGCATTTTAAAACCGGACACACAAAATGCACAACGGGCAGATGCCAAAACCAAATTGCTCTCAGCCCAATGCTCATTTGATGATGATGAAAAAAATGCTGCTGCTGCCCGACACGAGTTATTGGTGTTGACTTTTCTGATTGTTGCCCCGCGCTCATTCTCTGTCGCTCTCTCGCTCTCTTCCCTTTTGCCAATGCACATTAGCCGTGAAGTGTATGACGTATTTAAAATACCGTTTTGCATATTATTGCGGCTGTGTTATTTGCATTGTGTTCAAAATTGAAACGGTTGCATTTTGGGCAATCGTCGTGTGATCACACGACAGCCTCGCCGTACAAAATGATTCACGAACTTTTGATGAGAGATCGCCGGTCGAAAATGTAAATTCAATGCTCGTATTCGTTTTAACTCCCCAAACAAACTGAATTACACACATCGAAATAATGTTCGATGATTTGTAAGCGCTAGTATTCAGCAGTTTGGCACTGTATGGCTGTCTTTGAATTTAAATGGCTGGATACGAAAATTGTGTTGAAAATTTACTACGATTTCAATATACGATGTTACAGTGAGTAGTGTATTCGGCTCTGGCTCTGGCTATAGCTCTTCGTTCTAGGTCTGACTCGTTCTCTCTCACACTCTCAGCGACTTTTGCCACAAGTCGCCCGGTGTATTAGTTTGTTCGGTGTGGCTGGCTTGTGTACGTCGTACAATGTGTTTGAAAAGTGATGCTGCTTTTGCTTCCTTTTCATTAGTTGATTTAATTTTATGTTTCGTTGTTTTCTTTTTGATAGCTCCCGCTATCGGCGCTTGTTTGACTTTTATATGTACATATGGCCATTTTTTTGGTGTGTTTACCGCTTGCTCGGTCGTTTGGCCGCGTGTGTGCGCGCCCGATAGTTTTTCATTGTTTTCATCATGAGTCAAACAAACAGTAAACTCAAAATCCATATATCCAAGTGAATGTGGATAGTAAAAATGCCATCGCATTTCTCTACTTTCTGTCTCTATCGGCCGCTATGTTTAGTATTTCTTCTTCATCATCATCTACTACTTTTTTTCTCTCTGCTGTGTGCCATTGTGTTCCGTTTGAAGTTCGCGAAGCGAGCGTGCACACATACATGTGTACACGCAGCAAACGCGCACACAGAATCTGTTTTACAAAGTGGAAACTTTTGTTTCGTTCGACCGGTACTGGTCGTTGACACCCCCAACAAAACGCATTGCACACTCAAACTGCACGCATTTCGACTCTGTGCTCCGCATGACTATTTTCAATGTTTGTCATTTTTTTATGGAATTCTCAAATCATAGAAGATTTACATTTTGAACAACAGTTTTAGAAATAAATTTAGTTGTTGAAGGAAATGTTTCTCTTTTTAATTTCCTCCTGCTAAAACTACTTTTATTATCGAAATTGATCAAAGAATAACCGAAAGTGCAAAAGAAAAGTCATTCTCGAGCAACTAGTTTTCTATGATAGGTCGCATCAAAGAAGCAAAGTGAAGTAGTCGAATGAAGGCAAGCGCGGGCGAACGAATGGACGACCGCACGCGCGGGGGGTCAGCGTTGTGCGCGTCGTCCGTTTGTCGTTGTTTGAATTCGTTTAAAACACAGTCTCAGTATCGCATGGTAGAACCGTTTCTCTCTGTGAGCGTTTGGCGGCGAACTGAGAGCGAGAGAATATTCGCGTAGACGACGATAGCACATAGAAATCTGTACGACGTGCGTGGACGTGGTTGCTTTTTTGATGTGTCTCTTCTCATCTAGTGTTTGTTTCTCGCGCGTATAGTGTTCTTGTATCCTCTCTTGGTGTGATTAATACATTATTTCTTTTCGTTCTCGTTCGTTTCGAAATATCATCGGTTGTTTTTATTATATTGTGTCATCTTTTCGATCGTTCTTTTTTTTTTATTGTTTCTGTGTCTTCTGCAGAATTCGTTGTGTTGTGCGTTTGAAGATTACATCGTGTTTCGATCGAATCCATGACGGGTGGGAAAAGTGCATTGCACTGTGAAGGCATACACACACCGATTTCATAACATCATCATGATGATGACGAGCAGTGAACTTGTGCTAAAGTGTGAAAATAAAGTTCGAAACGCGCGCAAAATGATCAGTCGCAGCTATTAAATCACCGATTCGTAATCAAGTGATTGCTAGTGAGAAGCGAAAAAAAGAGAGTTAGAGAGAAAAACAAAAATCAATGAACGAAAATAAAAACAAAATGTTTGAAATTTGAAACAATTTCATATCGTGTTGGAATTTTGTTCATACGTCGAATGTGTATGATTAGTCAGTGTGTGAAATTTAATAAAACTACAGAAAATTGCGAGAGAGAGAGAGAGAGAGAGAGAGAGAGAGAGAATAAAGTGTAAATTCGCACCCAAATATATTTAAGGAATGAATTAAGCCAAAATGAAAAGAAATAATGGAGAGTGCACTAAAATTCATTATCTAAACAGAAAAGAAAAATTTCAAATCAAATCAATTGTGATGTTTTAAATATTTTGTCAAGTTTAGAGCCCTAGACCAATTAGCAAATAGTCAAAAATTCGTCGTCATTATCATCATCATCATCAATCATGTTTGAAGTGTGATCGTTTTGCGAAATGTGTGATTAGCGATGGTAGTGAACTTGATGACATTCTTTTGCAAATGTGTGAACTGAATAGATGCCGATGCAAACTCAAATGAGCGAAACGGAAACAAAAATAGTCCAAAGTGTTGTAACATTCAAAATGAAATTTTCTTCATTGAGCCGGCCAATATACTTTTCGCATGACAACGTTAGATTCATTTGTGGATTTCTCGGTGTGTTTGTGTTTTTGTCGTTCGAAACAAATCTTGACGAATATGTGAGCTTGATCTGAAATTAGATGCAACCATAAATCAAATGTCCGAACGGAATATTTCGGAAGAATAACTCCTTCATTCGGTTGCGTTGCCAGTGTGTGTTTTGATTCAAGCTGAGTTTGCCAGCTCATAAGCGCATTACTAAAAATATTCAAACATAAGTCAGTTCAATGAGTGAGTTCTATAGAAGCAAGATGAGAAGAAGAAAAAAAACACACACACGCAGTAGAAAACTATTTCCATGTGCAACGCGCACACATGCATCTTTCATCTCATCAACACAGAATCTGCAAAAAAAAAATGAGAAAAACAACCAGGAAAAATAATACAAACTGCCTGTTCGAATGCGGATAAATGGAATTCACAAGCATTAGAAAACCGAGAGCGACGTCGTTTTCTAGGCGCAGCATTAGAAAATAAAATCCAATAAAAGGCGTCTTTATTCAAAAAAAAACTGAAAATTGTTTTGAAATGGTCGGCCGGGTTTTCAAGCTAAGTTTTTATTTGCTCGCTTCGTTCATTCATTCGTTCGTTCGTTCTTTCGTATGCATGCGCGAGTTGTGTGAATTCTCAAAAACTGCCATTAGAACAATTAGAAAATCAAATACAAACAGATAAAACACACACACACATACATTCACTCATTTCAGAGGTATATATATTCAACTCTAATGGAGTGACTTGTAAGCGATTTATTTACATTTGGCTGAAAGGTGTGAAAATAAAGTGTTGGACATTTGTGAAAAGTCACAAGCATTTTTGGAACTCGGAAATATATGCATGTGTGTACGTGTGAGGCTGAAAGAGAAAGCAAAAGCAGGTGAACGAGACACAACGATTCAAAAACCAACAAAAACAACAACAGAAAAAAATGTGTACATTCGTAATACAGAGAGTAAACGAGTACAGTGTACAATCGCATATAACATTTGAAATGTAAAGTTCATTGACACTAAATGATCGGTCGCACTTACGCTACGTTCTACGCATTCTCGAGCTATCGAACACACTTGGGCCCAAGCTCAGTCACGCACACACACATACACACACATATACATACACACAGCCTGACGAACAACGGCACTGTCAGCCGAGAGAAGCGAACGTATTTAAGAAATTTGCCACAAATACGTCAAAACGACCGATATAAAATGCGGAAGAATTTTTTTTTTCACAGAGAATGTGTCTCGAACGTCGAACGAACGCGACGAGCGAGAGAGTAAAGCGATTGAAATAATGTACACACAAAAACAGAAGAGAAACACACACACACACAGAGAGAGAGAGAGAGAGCGAGCGCGAGAGAGAGAACACACGGAAATTTATTATATAGAAAGAGAGCGCGTGAAGTGCGCGCGCGTATGCATATTAAAATGCGTGTTGGAGTTGCGACGAGAAACAATATAACGAATCAGAATCACATTCAGAATGTAATTAAAGCAGGCGATATATGCCTTTTGTACATGTGTACGCACACACATACAGACAGAGAGAGCGCGCGCGATTTGGAACAGCAGTCAGTCAGTCAGTCAGCCAGCCAGTCCGCGCGCTATTGTTTGTGCGCGCGTTCAAACCGGTATAAACATACATGCATGCTTGACGACGGAATGAAAGATAGCGCGCGCTCTCTGTCTCTGCGTCAAAGAAAGTAGCATGCCATATGGACGACTCTTTCTTTCGACGTTTTTTTCCCTTTTTGTTTGAGTATATCTCATTTTGTTGGCTCTTCACAGATACAAAACGAAAAAGAAAAAAACAAACAAACTACGAAGTTCATTATTTCTTCGTCCACCGAAAATATTCGGAATTAATGGCAATCACAAACAATGATGAGAACTTAAGGCTACACAACCGAAATGATACATTGAGTCTCTTATTTATTCTATCGTGCGCTTGTTTATGAAGACTCCTAAACGGGCAGCGAAATTCATTCGACATAAGCATCGGTCGACAACAAATGACAAAGTGTGTTTAAGTGCTTGAAAGCCCAACGCGGTTTATCAAACAAGTAAAATTCGCTTCTCGATACCATTGTTTCACGCGGGCGACATTATGCAACCACTCTAATGAAAAACATAAGGGATCATTTGAAGAAAAAAAAGTCCAAATAAGAGAACATTTTTGTTTGCTAACAGAAAAAAATGTTAACGATTTGAAATCGCATCTCTGCATAATCCATTGAAAGGTGAAAGAGTTTCAAAGGTGGCTGGAAAGGTGTGAAGAAAGAAAATTGCGCAAATTTTCATCCAATTAAAAAAGTCCATCCACACTGTGCTCTCTGTCTTGCACACACACATGCATTTGATCGGCACGTGCACTGCATCTAGATGGATTTTTAAGTAGCCGTAGTTTCGTTAGAACGAAGCGTTTCACTCGTTCAAATGTACGATATCCCTCATTGTTTTGCGAGAGAGAGAGAGAGCGCGCTTTGCACATAATACATAATAATTGTCTCCGTTTGCTTGCTCTTTTTCTCGATTCTTCGTTTTTTTTCTTCTTCTTCCATCGTTTCCTTGCCTGCCTCTGCCTGCTCTTAGTTCTCTCTCGGTTGTTTGCTTATTACACTCGGCCGCGTTCAGTATGTGTCATTCAATTTGGCTGTTGTTGCTGCTGCTGTTCTTCTCTGTGTCGCCAAATGACAATGCATATTCTCTCTCTCTCGCTGAAATCGCGATTGTATTTACTTTCTTTTCTTCGTATCATATCGTATCGCTTTCTCCGTATGATTCGACAGTAAGGCGAGCACACAGAATATGTGAGATAGAAGCGAAGAAAAAAAACATTTGAACGATGACATAACAATTTATGTGTATGGGCTGGCTGGCTCGTTGGTTGATGCATTCATTGCAATTGAGCATGCTAAAATACAACACTGTAATGATAACGATGGCGTTTTTCTTCTTTTTCCCTTTTCGTTTGTGTACGGAACGCGCACGTTTGCAACTGTACATTGCTCCTTTGCAGCACTTCCCATTCGCACGTTTCATACAGCGCGGTGGTGTGTGTGTGTATGTGTGTATTTGATGTGTTAAATTTTAAAGTTCTAAAAATAGCTGAACCTTTGAGATGAACCATAATTGCTGAATGATGGATGAATAATAATCAGACGTTGACATTTGATGACTGTAAGAATTGTTGAATCGACGAACAATGTTGTGTGTGATAAATATGCCCCGAAAAAAAAGTCGTTGTACCGTCGTATTGATATCGAGGCATACAAAATGTGAATGCAATTTTTGTTCTTCCCTGAAATTATTTCAATTTTTATTTCAATCAAGATTTGTTGTGTCATTTAAACGAGTGTTGATTTATGTGAAATCCTTGAGCGATGATGTTTTGTGAATTTCGGGCAAAATATCAAATCGATGATTTCAACCGCATAAATTATTTCGAAAGTTTTTTTTTTCTTCATGCTAATCCTTTTCAACCTAAATGCGGGAATTCATTGAAATTGGCACATTGCAATTCTTATCAGTTGTCCTCGTGCACATTAAGCCTTTTAACTTCATCAACCTTATATTCACATTGAAATGGACGCAATCAACATACAAATGATTTCGATTAATTGGATTGCTTAGTACAATGTTTGTTTTTTGCATTGTTTGTTTGTTTGTTTTTTGCTAATGCGCCGCGCTGCCCATTCTAAAGGTGCATGATCTTTTTGCAACATCAAAACGACAAACTATCCATTTCAAAACAAAACACATCGCAACATACGCACTCATTAATTGAATGATATGCCAGCAAATGGAAACAAAGGAAGCTCAACTCTTCCGTATGAGTTGGTTATGTCACAAACACAAACAAAAACACTCATTCACTCATTTAAAATGGAAACCATGTCAAAATCGCTCGCTCACTCGCTCCCTCTCTCTCTCTCTCTCAATTTGCTGTCGGCCACACAATGTTTATAATAATCTGCATATTTTTGATTTATTGGTCACAAAACACACGTAGATACCAAGTATCGAAAATGCATTTTAACTAAACAGATACTTTGCATTTAACTTAATGACTTAATTACAGATGCAAATACCGAATTAAATGAATGAGAGAGAGCGAGAGATAGATCTAAAGTGTGTACGATTTGTTTAGCCGACAATTAATTATCAATAATAGCAAACTTATGTGGCCAATTTGAGTGCGCAAATTGATTTAGCCACAAAAACGATGGAAAAACAAGAAATGCCAATGAACGACAGTATACCCACAATCCACATACATTTACAAACACAATCATACACTCAAACGCATTACCATTGGGAATATGCATAGGTTTCTCGGAAACGGATTTTCATAAATCATCGATGATGATGTTTCATTGGGTTGGCGTGGTTTCGATACGTTTGGAGAAAACCATTTTGACACCGGCTTCAACGGCTATGTGTTAGTTATATGGCTTCAGCATTAGGCACTCACTCTCTATCGCTCTCTTTCTCTTCTACTCACACACACTTTAGCAAGTAATCATGTGAAATTCTGGACATCGCTAATTGCCCATATCGATTGAAATTTTAAGACTAATCGTAATAACATCAAGCATTCCACATTTCAATTGTTCCATCGCGTTCATCCATTTCTTTTCGATTTCGCTTTGTGTGCTCATTGGTAGTTTGGTATGTTTTTCTCTAGTGCATCGGATGGTCTTTCGTTCGGATGATTGAATGCAAACAGACACATGCAAATGAATTGAGTTTGCATCCATCGCATCGAAAATTGAGTAAATTGTGCGATAAACCATTGAGTTAAAAAAAAAAAAGAAAATCCAAAAACCAAGTGAACCGAAAGAGAAGGAAAGAATAAATACCAAAATTTCGTGGAATAAGTGAAACGAGACGCGTGTACAGTTTTGTGCGTGTGGAATACAATGTGGACCAATCACAATGAACTACCCGACAAATATCCCACGTAAATTGAGACAATGGAAAACGAATTCACCGATTTTTTAAATCAAAATTGGAATGAAAAGTATAAAGTCGGTGTGACGTCGTCGTCTTTACATTTGAATAGTAATAATGGTGTGCCAAATCCAGCACTAAACCACGTTGCGCTGCAACAATACCATCAGCAAACGTTTCGTGCGGCTACCTCATCAACAACACCAGCATCATTGTCATCCGCAACATCGAACTATGAGAACATTCGATTGGCATTTATGCAACATCGCCAACAAACGCAGGCAGCGGCGGCAGCAGCAGCTGCTGCTGCTGCCCAAGCTCAGCAACAACAACAGCAGCAGCAGCAGCAACAGCAACAGCAACATCATCACCAGCACCACCATACAGCCACAAATTCATCACTTCCGATTCAACGTAATCCATCGACAACTGCTGCATGCCCGAAACAAATCGACATTCATAGCATCAAAGGCAATAATGCCACTCTGCCCTTCGACTGTCAAAGTAAAATTTCTCCCACACAACATTTCGTCTATTCATTTCAAGCTATTCTATTTTTGCACGTCGGACCGCGATCTTTTCGGTCGTGTAATTTGGAACAAGCAAATTACGTGACATGAAAAGGCTGTGGTTTCAAAGTTGAACCAAAAAGTAATGCTCATGATAAACAAAACAAAAACAAAACATGCGTTTCAGTTGACAGTACAAACCCAGCACCGACAGCCTCATCAGCCACATCATCAACGTCATCATCGTCGTCGTCGTCATCGTCAGCGGCTACATTACACACAGTTTCGGCCGGCGGCGATCAGGATAAAAAAACCGCCAATTCCATTCGAGGTACTGAAAAAATGAAATGTGAAGCATTATTTCCCTCGTTGTTCATAAGCTATCACCATCGTACTTAATGTTTTTCCTATGCGACACAACAAAGTCTTTTTTTCGCTGATTTTTTTTTCAACATCGAATTTGGTGCAAAAGTTTTTGCGTAAACAACAGCATTGTCTACAGCAAAATGTTGTAATAATAGTGAATGCAGTTGCACTCTCTCTCTCTTTCTCGCTTTTGGAGATCGGTTTCGTATTTTATCTCTATTTCAGTGTGTGGCGCAACTGCTACCACACTTTTCAAACTGCATTTTATCCACTTCATTTGGTATGCAAGGAACACTTGACCTGCCACAGTTGCACTATTTACTTTGTCTGCTCTCCGAACTTTGGTTGCAATCGATAATTACCATTATGCAATAACTCAACCGTTTTCGCGCGCGTCGATTTCAAATCAACTTAATTACTCTCTCATTGCAACGCCGCCGATACCACCGCCGTCGAACAATCTCAATGGATCTCTATCTATTCTCTAGCCCCTCTCTCATTCTGTTTTCCATTTGTCTGTTGTGCTGTATCTCTTTCTCTCTCATGTTAAAATAAAAACAGCACACGTATATACATTCAATAGGCTCATTTGAATTTCATGCCAAAAATCATTCGAAACCCCCTTAATTAAGTGCAGAATTCTAATTATACCGCTGATTTGTAGTGATTCAGTCTCGGCCAGTTCATTGACTTGCCACACATATTAAATTGGCTCGTATTTTTTTGCTGCTGTTAACACATTTTTTTTCTCACTACAATTTTGTTTTGTTTGCAATCGGGACTAAAGAAAAGAAAAATTAATTTGAAAATTGCATTACAAGCACCAAAAAACCCATTGAGAGAAGAAGAAGAAATAAAAAAAAAACCGACGAATATTGGCATTTTCGGTGTTTTTTTTTTTCTCTTTGACTTCAGCAAATTCTTCGGATTACGTAATGAAATTCAACTCAAAAATAATGTCAGCAAATAGGTGATTGAAAATAAAAATTTGTTTTGGGGCAATGACATCATGTGTAAACTGTCATTCAAGCTGAAAAAAAAATAAACAAACTGATTTTGCACATTGTTCGAACTTCGAAGCGATTCTTGCGAAAATTATCGCATTACAAAAGCAAACTACAAACGAAATGCAAGCAAAGAAAGAAGAAAAAAAGATGGCTGATAGCACATCGGTTTCAATTTTGACGAAATTTAATTTATTCTTGACCTATTACAACATCTCACGTACGCGCTGCGTACTCAATAAAATGATGCGATTGCACACTTGAACGTTACTCGAAAATGCATCTCCGTGTTGCAAATGCGGAAAAGGCAAACGCAATGTATACGTAATTATTTGTAAACACAAAGTCGATTGAAATTCTATAAGCTTCTGGGTTAAAGGCTATTGGCAAAAAGTGAATTATTCCAAATTGGTATGGATTCAAGGATTCTATTTGTTCGAGTGTTGCAAATGCTTTGGAGAATATTTTCGGAAAATTTTTCGTCGAAACTATTTTTGGGAGGAACATTTGAATCTTGGCCAGGTCATTTCACAATTTACTCACATTCGAATTACATTTCGCAAACGAGCAGAAGCTAAATGAAAAAAAGCGAGTAGTAAATCATAACCGTTTAGGTCCACTGATAATAAAAACAAACCGAAATGCACTGCACATGCATTTTTGACATTGATCGTTTTGTGTCGATTTTGTTTGTGGACGCAAGCGGAATGCATACAAAAAAGCCCATACTGTTTTATTCATACTTTTGTTGATGATGTATGTGTGTTTTTTTTTTCTTCGGTGAAATGTATATATTTTCATAGGAACACATTTTTTCTCCTCGATTTGCACATACAAAAGCATATGCATAGTGTTAATAACGTACAACCGGACAGGGTAACGACTTTAAATATCGGTGAATTTTTTTGTTTCGCTCATTTTCTCTCTCTCTCTCTCTCTCTCTCTCTCTCTCTCTCTCTCTCTCTCT